CCAGCTGGAGCTGCAGAGCTGGAATAAGCATTCATAATTAACAGTTTGCTTGTAATGAGTTCTAATTGGCATTTAATAACACCCTGATAATAGTCTGTACCATTATAGCTGCAAGTTGTTACCCAATAAGAGCGGTACAATATGTATAACTGAATTAGTAGACCAAACCAGTAAACAGAAGTAAACTATTCATAATATAACTTTGAACTTTGTCAGATACCCAGAACTACTAAATATGGATGGAGACATGAGGCTTCATCAAAGAGGCCACAACAGTCACTGTGGGTTTACTGCCACATGGGCTATTTATTAGCCAGCTAAACTCCTAAAGAGGAGAAAAGAACAAACAGTTGTTCTCCAGCCAGAAACCAGCCACCCACTGGTAGAGCACTGGGAGTGTTCTACTGGTCCAGAAAGGATAAAACAAACCAAAACCAATTAATCACATCAGAACACCACAAAAATGAGCAACCACAAACCACACATGTCTATAGGTGAGTGAACTCTGGGTACACTTACCACACCCAAGGATGGAGGTCGCCACAAGCCGCAGCAGACCACCATAATAAAATAAAATACAAAGTTAAACACTAGAAATTAGCAAGAGGATTAAGGTCACTAAAAGGAGTTCTGAATTTAAAGTCAAAGCTCATTTTATTTTACATTTTTGTAATAAAGCTGAGGCCTAACAACACTAATACTATCAAAATGTAAAGATAACCTAAAACTGTGATAAAATCAAAAGCAGCCAGTGTTTTGCCTGTAAACATACAAAGCACTGCTACAAATAAGGTGCAAATAAATATGAATTCCCTTTTTTTAAACTAACAAACCTTGTACCAGGTGGTAAAACTGCTCAGACTCTTGTAACAACATCCCTTGTTGTATTTATACCCCCACCTATACCCCAGCTTGATTTCTTAGACCTGCAGATCCACCCCTGCTGACTGTACCCAGACAGCGTTGGAGTGATAGAGCCTTTGCAGTAGCTGCCCCTAAACTTTGGAATCATTCACCACTTGAAAACTTATCTTTTCTTGTAGGCCTTTAATCCTGGTATAGTTTGAGGTATACTGGGCATTTATGTGATGGTGTTTTTATTATTTTATACTGTTTTACACTTTATATGCTATTTTTCTGTTTGGTTTTTGCTTCTTTAATTTTGTGCAACACTTTCTAATAGTTTTGTTTAGAAAAGTGCTATATAAATACAATCTGCTTGCTACCTTTATCTAGCACGCTAGAACACAAAAAAAAACACAATATTATGAAAATACAGCAATGCGGCTCCTCAGTGCGACTACACAGGACAAGCTGTGAACTGGCGTTGAGCAGCGGTCAGTCCAAAGCCCACCTAGTTTGCTTCCTGTCGTTTATTGGCTGCTGCTCCTCTTATTATCACCATCCCCTGCATGGCTTCTAGTATCCGCGTGTTACAATAATTAAAATTAGTTGTTACCTGTAGTTGTCAGTCAATTAGTAATTAAGAGTCATTAATAAAGTATACTAGTTATTAATTACATATTTGTTAGTCATTTGGAGTTTCACCACTATTCTAATGAATTAGTTAATAATAACACATTCATAATATATTACCTACATATTAGTCTACTGAAATAGCAGTTAGCAGTAAATAGCTATATTACTACAGTATTCCTAATTAGAAGGTAGATTCAGATGTCTCTCTGCTTTATTTCTTGCAGTATTGAGGGTTTGTACACATTATTGCTAATATCAGGGAGCATTTTTTTTTTTTTTTTTTTTTTGCCCTGAAAATTTCTAAGTACATTCATGTTGAAGGAAGACAAACGTAACGACTCTGTGGCCTTTTCTCTAGCGAAACAGGACACAGCTTGTAAATGTTTAAGGATTTCAACAGTTTGGTCTCCTGGATGGACCAAAGTAAATGTTTTGTTAAAGTGTAACTTTTATTTAACAATTTAAGTCCTACTGAGGACAGAAACCTCTCATGTGAGTCAGACCTGGACAAAACTATGGCATATAAAGTTTCAGAAAAAAATAAAATAAAAATCAAGGTCAGAAGATGGGTGAAACTGTATTTAGAACTAAAAACAATACTAAATGCAGATGATACTAAAGGAAGACTCAGTGTAACCTAAGAGCAGCTGGTAAACAAAGGAGCCATTTATTATATAATTTACATTTGTAAATATCAGATCATTGATTCCTTGTGATGATGATTTTGAATGACTAGAACAGAAAACATGATGACGTGACATAAGGAAAAAATTTCATCATCACAAATAACTTGTCTTCCCCAGAGTTATAACAATTTTTTAAAGGTCCCTTACCTTCCTCAGAACATAAAAAAAAAAAAATCACACTAGTTTTGTTCTGCACTGACTGTGAGTGTGTGTGTGTGTGTGTTGTCTGCCTTCAGCACAAGCTTGAGTGGAGCGAGCTGAGGCTGCAACATATTACAGGCGGATTGTTTATAAAGTGAGAGATCGGATCTGGGCTCACACGGCTATACAAAACTGTGTTGTCTGTGTAAAGACGAGTGTTAGTTGCATGTGCAAAAAGGCCTGAAATAATTTATGTTAACGTGTTTTACTTAGGCCTGGAGCTCATCTCATGACAACAAAGGAACCGCAGATTAGCTGGATAACAACGCCGAACCTTTTCTAATCCGGAAAAGTTATCAAGTGTTATTCACATCCTTCTGTGTGAGGAAACCCCCTGGTGTCAATCCTTGTTTAGTTTATGAAACCATCAAACAAATGTCTTTGTGGAGGAATTTGTTTTGGTTAAGAAACTATTTAATGAGTGAAAGGTTTATTGAAGGCTTACTACAGTTATTTTCATAAGGACTGTGTGTATATATGTCCCTAACCATTCTGCCTGGTGTATTTCAGGACTGGGTGGAGATGGGTGGGAAGGTTTTACATCCACCAGTTACTAAATGAGCATATGTCGTGCACACACACACACACACACACACGCGTGCGCACACGCACACAGTGCAGCAGACCTCAGCGGACAAGTAAACAGTATTCACAGCAGGCAAAGGAGAAAGAAGTGAATCCTTGTTGGTGTTTCCCTCCATGTCTTTCTCCCTTCGTACAGTGACTCCTAACAACAACACCTCTGCCAAAGGGGAAATCAGTGTTTAAATAAGAGCCAGCACAGAGCTGCTCCGAGCCGACTGTATGTCTTAAGTAGCTGATTGTATCTTTGATGGTCCACCAGCTCTCCATGATGATTACCAGAGATTGCCAGGAAATCATGCGTGGCGGGCTCTTTTTTTTTTCCAGGTCTCATAAAACACTAAGATAACTTTGTGTTTGCCTTTGTTGTCTGGAAAGTAATGGCAGGCCTGCTAAGCTCAACCAGCTGTAATCTTGTTTGCTGAGACCTGTTTTCCCTCCCCTGTGTTATTGTTTGGAAGCCGCGGCAGGGAGCCATGGTGCTGGGAGTTTTACTGGCGGTCTTCTAGTCAGGTGTGTCTTTGTGTCATCATATCCATCTCAAACAGCCTATCATACTGATCCTCAGCTATTCAAGGGATCAGATTGGAGATCTCATATAGATTAGCCATAAGATACGGAACTAGAGCTGATGAGCCATTTTGTGGGTGAAGGCGGGCCTGTGAACATGACAACAGGAAGAGAACTGCAGCCACACTGAGGGAGAACTCTGAGAGGTCCAAAAATGACCAGAGTGACCGTGATGGAATTTTATTGTGATATTTTTCACAGTGGTTGATTTGTTCACATCTCTACCATGCTGTATGTACATGAACACAAGACAAAGTCAGATCATCCAAATGATAAGCAAACAAACAAAAATATAAATAAAAAGAAAGAAACAACACAAAGATCTATATTTTCTCACTTACAATGTTTGTATGTATGCACTGTATTTACCAGTGCAGATAGTTGTGGATTTATTTCAATATGTTTTGAGGACATAACAACATGCTTAATTAAGATGGCATCTGCTACTCATCAGCAGTTAGCATTGTCATTGTGGGCAGGTTAGCCAACTGACATTAGCATTAAGCTTAAAGCACCACTGTGCCTCACAGCGTTGCCATAAAGTCTTCACTTTATTGAATGTTATTAGGACCACAACGCTGAATTTCATTCAGCTACAGTGTATCGAGATGGATGAACAAAACTCTGAGACAGATCATCTCAAAACCGTGCAAAATAAAACCAAGATCTAGCAAGACTGCAAAACAAACCCCCCAAAAATCTATTTTTTGTTATAGAAACTAAAGTTGCATATCAGTGGAAGAAAACAGTTTATCTTAGCAAAATGTCGCCTATAACCTCTGTGTTTATTCACCTGCAACATCTGTATAGCTGCTCTTTGGTTTTCACTGTACACATGTTAGTGTGAATTACATTGGGTTTCACTCAGAAGAACAAACAAACAAATAAAAAC